AACATGGACCAGTCCTGGAGTCTGGGGAAGGCTCTGATGAGGGCTCTGTGTCGGAGGTAGAGATGGGGCCAGGGCTGTCTGACAGTTATCAGCTGCCTTCGAAGACAGACATCAGTGAGACAGACGAACAGCTGGAGCCTATTCCCAGTGTGCGCATGCGCAGAGTTGCCAAATGAAGGGAACAGTTAAGGAACAAGGATCGACTTGGGAGTAAGGCCACAGGTAGACAGTGAATGGCTCCTCCCATAGGGAATAAAAGAGGAGCGAAAAGGGAGTGGAGTTTGCAGGAGACAATTAGTTCGCTTAATTGGTTCAAGACTCTTGGAGACTCCTTGCCAAGTTTTGAAGAAATCGGCCTGGCAGCACTCTAAGCCAGATAAGGTTTGTGACTGAAAATTCACCCTTGAAAGACTTTGCTAGATGTGAATGAGAGGAATTCACATTAACTTAATAAAAAGGGGTTTTTGTTGGGACAAGGAGTCTGCTTCATGGTTTGGGGAAGCCTAGGTGAGAACAAACCATGTGAAGTGGTCTAGGCTGGGAGAGAATAACTGGCCTAGGGTCATCCAGCTAGCATTTTTGACTGAAGTGGAATCTGAAGTCATGGTCTCCGATTTCTAGCCCGGTGCCTCAATCACTTGAGTAGACAATATTTTAAGAACATATTGCTTCTATTTGCTTTCTTCCTATTTTTGACTCCATTCCATTCTTATTTGCCATTTTCTCTTTTGATTGCCCTCCCATGTTTAGAGATTTTTTTTAATAGTGTAGCAGCATGAAATGTGACATTAATACGCACTGAAAAATGTTAATCCAATTTGAATTTTGCCCCTCTTCTTTTATCAATAACCCTAATATTTGCAAACACTTGGCAACTCTGTCCACTAACAATATCAACTTTCTCTGAAAAATAATGGAAAGATAAGCTTACCTCTGCCAGAAGCCAATGGATTTAAAGGCCTTTTTACTGAGCGAGGCCTATAAGATAAACATATTTTAATTATTTATAGTTAAAACCATGTACAAATAATATTGGTTAAATGTAATACTAAAAGCAATTGACCACCATAGAAATGAATTATTTTCATTGCAATTTCTAGCAAATAAAATCACTTTTAACTTAGGTCTAAAGGCTAAAGGGAGTGAACTAGACCAATATTTAAAGAGAAGCATTTGAATGTACCATAGTTACTAATTTCAAAAGGATTAAAAAAATTCTTTGAAGGTATCATCTTAATTGCTGAATGGACAAGTTTATGAGGGAAAGGCAAATTTTCAGACTTCTTTCAAGGATGCATTGATTCATTCTTTCTTTTAAAGTCTTTATTTATCCTAACCTGGCACCTTCTAAATATATTGGACTAGTAATTCCATGCAATTGGCATTGCAGGGAACGATGGAAGCTATAATGTAACAGAGTTTCTGGATGGGGAAAACTTTAATCAACTCTCTAAAACTAGGGAAGACCCTATAATAAAGATTTTCACATTGCTATAATTCTTTCAATATCTAACAAGTGACATGCAGATGTTAACCAGTTTGGTCTGGTGATAAAAACACTGAATTAGGACTGGGGAAATTTGAGTTTTAGTCTTGTCTTAAGAGTGTTGAGGCCCGCCAGCAGCCAACGGAGCTGGCAGCAGTCGGACAGTGAGGAGGTTGGGGAGGAACATGGGCCAGTCCTGGAGGCTGAGGAAGGCTCAGATGAGGGCTCTGCATCGGAGGCAGAGATGGTGCCAAGGCCGTCTGGCAGTTCTCAGCTGCCTTCNCATGGGTGCTGGCCAGCTGACAGGGCATCGCCTTGCATGCCCTTTCAAATGGCTCCGCATGCCACCTGTGCTTCAGAATCCTAAATAAATTGAGAGTTAGGGTTAGTTATATCCAACATCATCAACAGAATCCCTCCAAATGAAGCAGGTGGAAGAGACAAGTGCATTTCAGTGATGGGCTGCCCAAGCATGTACATTGCGATCTTTTCACTTCCTTTCTATAGTTTGAGTCTTTTATACAGCTTTATTAGGATACAAGGTTTTGCAAGGTATCACAAAGGGATATTTTGGTTGTCAAAGGAAGTGAAGTGAGCTCTCAAGAGTTCACGACTGCCACAGTGGCAATGCAGCAGGAGAAATGACCACGTGATCTTCCCCTTCCCCTTTCCCTCATCTGGAGCATTAAGGAGAAAATGAGACCACTAACCTTGCAAAAGGTATCTGGCACTGAGATGAATGTTGATGCTTGCGTGAAGACCAGAAATAAGTTTGTAGAAAGCTCTCTTCTCCACACAGAGATCTGTAAGAAACATTGAGAGGAAAGTATGGCAATTTGAAGGGTAGAAATTTAATTCTGCAGTGTAATCAATGTTGCATCTGCAATGCAATCCACGGTGCGTTAGTTAAAGTGGTTAAAAAAAATCAATTACCTTGCAACCAGCTGTAAAACATATTCCCTGAAAAGAGAGAGAGAGAGAGAGCCATCACAAAGGATTTCTCACAACAGAAATGTATCTATGATAGCTTCATTTGTCACATCTAATGCCAACGTTGATTACTAGAGTATATAAGAATTTTTCCAAAAGCAGGGTCTCATCTCAACATTGAGGTCATAACCCTGAAGTAGGTACACCCATCTCCTCCTGCTGCACATACTAATAAAATGGTCTTAATTCTTCCACTTCTTAGCTCCAACCATATCAGCTAATACAGGGGTGTCAAACTGAATTTCTTCAAGGGCCAAATCAGCATTGTAGTTCTCCGAAGGCCAGCCACGTGTGTGTGAGAGAGAGAGGGGGGGGGAGGCAGTATGGTTGCCTCCTACAGAACCCTGGCGGCCAAAATAAGGCACAGGGGGGCCATGTGCAGCCTCCCCATGCCCTCTTTTTGGCCTGGCCGGCCTCCTGCAGCACTATTAGCCAAAATGGGGCACAGGTGTGTGTGCATGCAGCCTCCCAATGGCCCATTTTGGCTGCCAGAAACACCATGGGCCAGTCCTTTGCTATTTCCAGGCTGCTCCTGTGAGCCAGATTTAAGCAGCCCATGGGCCAAATCCAGCCCGCGGGCCTTGAGTTTGACCCCCTGAGCTAATATATTGGTACACGTTGCCAACATATTCCTCCAACAGCAGAATAAAGGACTGTTAAGAAGAAGGATGAATTCAACTCGGTCCTCACACAGCTAATTTTGGAAGAGTGAGTATGAAGTGTACAGAAGGGAAGAAGAAATGGCAGTCAGTGTGCATTTTGCTAAATACCGACATTTCCCCCCCAAATAATTAACATCCATCAATATATCTATCCTCTTGGTTATTGCTGGGAATGCACTCACCTTCATTTTCTCTTACTCCTGTAAAAGCAAATTAAAAATAGAAAAGGAGGAGATTACATTTCAATCAGATGAAATGTCTTAAGATATTTTTAGACTACTTCAATGGGCATGAGCACTCTGATAAAATAGAAAATATTTGCCTCTGAAAGCTCTGAGTTTCCTTTCCCATCAACCTCAGACAGTAAAGCCAATAGTAAAGGATTATGGGAGTTGTACTCCAAAGATTCTAGTGAGCACTCATTGCCTAACACAATGTAATACAACCGGTACTAAAAATATTAACCTCTGCATCCATCTCCATTCTATCCCAAGAACTACTACTTTGTTTTAAAATAGTAATGATCATATCTTATCTTGCCTTGCTGAATTTATTATGCTTCTTTTCCCCAGACTTACATGATTCAGAGTGAAACTGCTTTAGTTCAGTCATTAATCAGACTTACACAATTTATACCAGATCGCTAGACTGATGGGGAGGGGCATGCAGCTAATCAAAATACTTTAGCATTATTCCTATTCTAAAAAGAATCTTATTTGGCCACCCTTTGACTTCCTGCAGTATTAATAATACTCCTTGTAGCCTACATTTTTTTATCTATAAGGGTTTTGTTTATGTCCTGCCTTTTTTTTTACAAATAACTCAAGGCGGAGGACATATCTAATACTCCTTCTTCCTCCTATTTTCCCCACAATAATAACAACCCTGTTGCGGTCTGCCAGCAGTCAGTGGAGCTGGCAGCAGATTTGGACAGTGAGGAGGTTGGGGAGGAACATGGACCAGTCCTGGAGTCTGGGGAAGGCTCTGATGAGGGCTCTGTGTCGGAGGNTGCATAGCCTTTAGGAGGCTTCCGGAGTGCTCCTGGGGGTTGAAAAGGGCAGAAATGAGCAAAAAATGGGGCATTTTTTTTGCTCTTTGCCCTTTCCAGCCCTCATGAGCACTCTGAAAGCTCCTAAAGGTTATGCATGTCCTTTTTTGGGGGGGGGGACAACGGGCCCATTTTCACAAAAACGGGCCATTTTTGGGAGGTTTGTAGAGTGCAAAAACTTTTTTTTTAATTTGCCTCTTCAAAATCTTGATGCATATTATACTCCAGTGCATCTTATAACTCTGGTGCATCATATACTCTGAAAAATATGGTAGATTGAAAAGCAAGATGTAAAGATGTTAAAAATATAAATAAACATTACTATCTTAGAAATCCTTAGGAAATTTAGCCAGGAGAAAAATAGATGAGGATCTTTTGGGGGGGGGAGGGGAATCTTAAAAATGTAAAGCCTGGCCAAATAAACATACTTAAAACAGTTTTCTTCATAAATACTGTTCCAAATCTTCCAGGCTTCGGGGCCTTTGTAGCCAGTGTAACGTTCTGGATTCAGAAGCAAATCTACATACTCTGCTTCAGGAGAATGGATATCTGGAAAGGAAAAAGAACTGCATTAAAATGAGAGATAAAGAGAATAAGAATGTATCTGAGGATGCATCTTGCCAATTGCTTTTGTAGTCTTTACCTCAGAGGGTTCCATTTTTTCCAACATGAAACAGATGAGGAAAAAACCCACAACTTCCTCTGTTGTGGACCAGAGGTGGGTTGCTCCTGGTTCGGCCCGTATCGGGCAAACTGGTGGTAGCGGTGGCGAAAGGCTCCGCCCACCCACCTGGATGCTTCTGCGCATGCACACGTGAGTGCACACGCGAGTACAAGCGAACCAGTAGTAAAAAAATTAGAAACCCACCACTGTTGTGGATTCATGCTGTGCAAGGCACACTCCTCCTCATTTAATCAAACAAGAATCTGACAAAACTAGCAAAAGTTTCCAGGATAGTTTGGAATCATTTCATTCTACAAACATTGGAAGTGTTACAGGTAGTTCTTGACTTATAAACCAGGGGTCCCCAAACTCCAAGCCATAGCCTACTACCGGGTTGTGGTTGGTTTGGAACCAGGCCACATGAACTAGTCACTAGTCTTTATCTTCTCCTCCCACTTCATGTAGTTTAGAGGAATTTAAATTTTACATAAGAGTAAGAGGGTGACCATCAAGATAACAGACATGTGTCTGTATATCTCAAATACATATGTAAGCTTTCTTTAAATCCTCCGGATGTTGCGGGCACTATGGATTTTTAAGAAAAGATTGGGCAACCATTTGTCTAAAATGGCATAGCATTTCTCTGCTTGAGCAGAAAGTTGGCCTAGGAGATCTCCAAGATTATGTTATTGTTCTCCTTGAAACCACCTTAGAAGTCTTAATAGAAACACAGGGAATGGAGACACCAACAGTACCATCAGCTTCACAAAAGTTTTCTGAAGAATCGTCATGCTGAGTCCATTGAATCATAGCCCGTGCAGTTTCTTCACTGCAAAATAAATGAGAAAATGTTTATGCATAGAAATGGTTCTACATAAATACAGGAACCTGGGTAAAATTACTATGGGAGGTGTGAAAGTGTCACATGTAATATCAGCATGCCCAAAAACATTGGTAGGCAACAGTTAAGAGGGCTGGAAGGAATCCTGAATTTGGCACTTCAACATGAGCTAAATATATAACTGAAACACCACTTGCTCAAAACATAATAAAGTTATGGTTTTGATTTATGATAATATGAACCCAACAACTGTGGTTTCTAAACCTCATTTTATAACTTAGTGAGATATGCAAACACAGCTTAATAGTTCATATAACATACTTTAATTAAAGAAACTATGGCTAAACACATTGTGCTGCCTAAGCCACCTATATCTGACTCAGCCTTCCATCCTTCTGAAGTCGGTAAAATGAGGACCCGGATTGTTGGGGGCAATAGGCTGACTCTGTAAACCGCTTAGAGAGGGCTGTAAAGCACTATAAAGTGGTATACAAGTCTAAATGCTATTGCTATAAGTCTAAGTGCTATTGCAACTGACTGAAATAATAACAACGTTGCCAAACTAGAAAAACTTCCCCTTTTTCTTAAAATGGACTCCTAACATCAAAAACATCATCAAAAAAGCACAACAAGGAATGTTCTTTCTGCACCAACTCAGGAAGCTCAAACTTCCCAAAGAGCTGCTGATTCAGTTCTACAAAGGAATTATTGAGTCTGTCATCCGCACCTTCATAACTGTCTGGTTTGGCTCTGCAACCAAATGAGACAGACACAGACTTAAACGGATAATTAGAACTGCAGAAAAAACAATTGCTACCAACCTGCCTTCCATCGAGGACCTGTATACTGCACGAGTCAAAAAGAGGGCTGAGAAAAAATCTACAGACCTCTCACATCCTAGACATAAATTGTTTCAACTCCTACCCTCAAAACAACATTAGAGCACTACACATCAGAACAAGACACAAGTACAGTTTGTCCCCGAAAGCCATCACTCTGCTAAATAATTATTTCCTACAACACTGTCAAATTATCTACTAAGACTGTAATACTATTATTCTTCTCACCTCTTCCCACTTATGGTTATATCCATGTTGCTTGTACCTTTACAACTTGTATTGTTTTTATTGTTTCCTAGTATGATTTGATTATTTATTAGTATCCTATGACTATCACTAAATGTTGTATCTTATGATTCTTGACTAATATATTTTATTTTTCTTTATGTGCACTGAGAGCATATGCACCAAAGGCAAATTCCTTATGTGTCCAATCCACTTG